CTCCATTCTTTTCTTGGCCAGGCAGCGAAAGAAGCTGACGAGCGGGTTGAATAATAAATACCAGATAGACAAGGTTCAACCACAATTGTTTTTGTATTCGAGGTTAAAAAAAATGAATAATACAAATCCTAACTCAATCCTATACTCTACAAGACATCAGAAGAAACATAACAAAACAAAAAGCTAAAAAACAGATTGTTACAACAAGAAAGTAAAGTGAACAAAATTTTTTAAAAAGATAGATTATTTTTTTTGCAGGCCAATGCAACAAAAATGCTAAGATTCCTAAGAATGAAAAAATAATGACCTATATCAACATACATGTACTTAGTACATTTAAACTGAATTTCAAATTAATCGCTTGAACAATGACTCAACCGGTTTTTGTACACACGAACCAGGAACAGTGCGTACCAAGTTCATCATGCAGATGATTTTGCAGTGCTGCAGGATTGGATGTGCACCAAACATGAGGCGCAGCCACTTGTGCAGGATTCACACAGCAAGCATCCAATATAAGTGCAAGTGGGACTCATCAACCTCCCCCGTCTCATGCAACTGACCCCCCCACTTCGCATTCACTAAGGCCTGACTGATCCTCTACTCCGAACGATGATGACCCACCCTCGGATCCTTCACAGAACCCATAACTGTTGCTCCACATTGGTCCGATCTGGCGGTGAATACTGAGAACCCTATGAAGTTTGTTTCCCCCTACTTCCCTCGTCCTACTCTCCCTCTTCTGATGCAGTACTCCCTCACACTGTTAATGTTCCGGATTGTTTATTTATGTGACTAGCCGTCAACCTTTTTATCTTTTGCAGAGCATCATTAGAGTAGCAACGCATATAAGAAAAAGTGTGCCCATTAAGAGAACAGAATCTATTGTCACATAACTACGAACTAAAAGACCTGGCGTCAGACCAGACACAAGATTGAATTTACCCGGGCTGGTTAGTCCGATGACAATACCTCAAGGCCATCCCCTCAAAAAAAAAAAAAAAAAAAAAAAAAAAAAACCTTTGCGATTCATATTTCCCATTCTTCTTTTAAACCACCGGTACTTGGCCCAGCTATTGATGCCGAGCCAGCCGACCACCTGCACGCCATGTTTCGCCGAACCACCGGGGCACCGTTTCAATTTTATTCTCACTAGCGATTCCAGCCATTGTGGTCCGGTACCCCGAAGCCCGACAGGCGCAGCGTATTAACGGGGAAGCGCCGCGGCCGATAGCTGTGTCAAGTACTGGTGGTTTAACTCCCCCTTCACCATTCCAGAATATATGTGTATGTCTGCTGAACACTGAACAGGCCTCTCCCTCCCCGTTTACTCTGCCTCCCTGTCATCACGTGCGAGTGGGACATTAAAGCACCAGTACCTCCATGTTTATAGGATTAACGTGGTGGAAAGAATCGGTGCACCGTGCGCGTCCATGTGCACTTGAGTCAGAGGGGGCCCAGAGGGGGCTTAAAGGGGGCCCCAGAGGGGGCCAAAGACCACCTGGGGTACTGGTGAGTTAAGGCACATTGGGATTTCAGCACCTGGCAATGTCAACATGGCCAGCCTTCAAAAAAAAAAAAAAAAAAAAAACATGGCCATCCTTCTATATGACAGAGACAGTAACAACAGGAAGCAAATATTTATAAAAAAAGCAGGGATAACAAAAAAAAAGCTGCATACACATAAGTAAGACTCACTCTAGTGGCAAAGACAAGTTGCATGACAAAACGGCAACATCACAGTTTTCATGTGCTCGATGATGCTTGCTGAAAATGATTTTAAACCACCAGTACTTCTAAGAGTCGTGCCCATTAACATGCCATGATTTTAGAGTCGTGCCCGTTACCGCACCACGATTTTAGGCAACGTACGGGCCACCACAACAGCACCCAAATGCATCTGACTAGAAATGTTCCTACTCTTTTTCTTTCCACGGCACGTGCCCGTTACAATGCGCCACGATTTTTTCCGCGGCCCGTCCCCGTTAACGCGCCACGATTTTTTCCACAGCCCATGTACGTTAACACGCCACGATTTTAGGAAACGTACGGGCCATTACAGGAGCGCCCAAATTCATCCGACTAGAAACGTTTCTACTCTATTTTTTCCCCCAGCCCGTA